TACTCTTGCCATTTTCCAAATTTCATCTCTGCAGGGTATGGATCCAATCCCCAAGAAGCTTTTCACCTAGGCAGATGGGTAAGCTTCACCCAGGAAACCACAGATGAAGAGCAAAACTGATGGAAATGCTCTGTGCGAAAGCAGGAAGGTGGGGAGATAGGTTGGAGTGGGTTTGAGGACAGTGAGTAGATAAAGCTTGCTTGCCTGGGTAGGCCTGGAAAGGGTCCCATTGTGACCAGCTCTGGACTCCATAATAAAGAAAATGGGTTTTCTCTTTCAGACACTGAGGATACTTTGAAGATTTGCAAGTAGGATAAGGTAAACAGAGAGCAGTGGTTGAGGACAATGCATTTGGTACAAATTACTAGTTCCTCCGTGGAGTGGGTGTTGATTAAAGGAGTGATCACAGGGCAGGGAGAGAGAGGTCTACCCATCCCAGGGCAAAACAAGATGCCGTGTACTTCCTGGAATTTTAAACAATGTGCTGGAAGACCACCGAATAGTCCCACTATTTGTGAATGGTTAAGTTGGTATAGCTACTTGATAGATTCTGCAAACATCAGAAATATCTAGGAAGGGGGCATGATAACACTTAAAAATGCTTATATTAAACATTAAATAAAGAACAGAATACAAAATTGAGTATCTAGTATGATCACTATTCTGTTGAATAATAATAACATAATAGTAATATCACCCATAGAGAAAACAGGAAAGGAAAGAAAAAATAGAAAATACTAACAGGACAGTGGGTGTGTTAAGGTGATGCGATGCATGGGTGTTTTTTCCCCCTCCAGTGACTTTTCTACATCTTCCATTTATTTTTAATGACATACATTCTTCTTTTTCTTAAAAAAAAAAAAAAAAAGCACACCACCCTAGCCGGTTTGGCTCAGTGGATAAAGCATTGACCTGAGGACTAAAGGGTCCCAGGTTCGCCCTAACCAGTTTGGCTCAGTGGATAGAGCGTCAACTTGCGGACTGAAAGGTCCCAGGTTCGATTCCGGTCAAGGGCATGTACCTTGGTTGCGGGCACATCCCCAGTAGGAGGTGTGTAGGAGGCAGCTGATCGATGTTTCTAACTCTCTATCCCTCTACCTTCCTCTCTGTAAAAAATCAATAATATATATATATGTGTGAGTGTATATATATATATAT